TGACAACCACCCATATAAACCCTATGTGACCCTAAATAGCAGCTTCCATTTGCTTTTCCATTATCCCTATAACCCCTATATCAACCCTATATAAACCCTATATAAACCCAATATAAACCCAATATAAACCCAATATAAACCCAATATAACCCGAAAACCCGTATATCAACCCACAGTTTTGACAACCACCCTCATGAGTAGCAACATGTCCACCTCTGCTGAAAAAATCCTTCCCCCAGGCCGACACCCCGCTGCTGGGAGGCGGCTTTCATCCAGGTGCGATAGTGGGGCAATAGTGGGATAATGAAAAGAAGTGAAACTAGAGGGATTATAGGGATTATTTTTGGGATTATATAGGGATTATAGGCGATATAACGGGTTATATTGGGAGAATGGAAAATAAAATGGAAACTACTATCATGAGATATTGGGGTTATACTACAATAGTATATAGGGGATATATAGGGATCATGGAAAATAAACTGGGAACTACTGGAAGAGGGCGCGAAACCAAGGATCTAGACTGATCCTAAACCCTAAACCCAAACCCAAACCCTAAACCCTAAACCCTAAACCTGACAATCTGCAGCCTCACACCCCATGGCCTTGCGCGACGTCTTGAAAAATGCTCAGAAGATTCAGATTCAGACAGAAAGTATGAGAGCACATTGGTTTGTCCAAGATGTAAGCTTCTCATTCTGTGAAACCCAGCGAGGCCCCATAGAAAAAGGGAACTGTAGTTAGCCGTGTGTGAGCTAGAACTTGCTAGGACGTATGTGCTTCATTCGTCATTCACAATTCCCAGACGACGTCAATCAGCCTGAAAAGCTCACGCAGGCTCCGTTACGTGTTGCTTCCGAACAGCCTCGAATCAATGCCAAATTTTCAACAAAAGTGTACGACCTGTCCAAGAGGCCCGGTGACTTGCATGGACATGGCTGTTCAGCGACCAATTCTGGTGACTGCCTGCAGCCGACTTCTTGGAGTGTTTCGGAGATGGCTTGGCCGCTGCATTCCAGCTTGCAAGACCCTGCCAGCAATTTGTAATTTCTCTTTTCTGAACCCATCCTTAGATGGTTTCGATTCACTCACTTCTGAGCAAAATCCCTAAAGCCTGAACCCGAACACCCTAACCCCTAAGCCCTAAAATCCTAAACCCGAAAGTCAGACTCCAAGGTCAGGATGCTGCGATCAGGGTCCCGAGCTTGGTGTTTGGCCAGCCTTGCCGGTTGTTAGCAGGGAATGAAGGTTTACCAGAATTAGGGGTACCTTATTGGCGGTCTCCGTTAGAAGGATTATAGTATTATTGGGGTCTATACTGGGGTCCCTTATTGAGGGAAACTACCAAATGAAGGAATGGGAAAGGACATGGAAGCTACTTCATAAGCTGCAGTTCAAAGTCCTTAAACAGGGGGGTGATACAGGGAAGTATTATAGGAAGGGATACTAAGACGTTAGACTATAGCTCACATGATTGGGGGTTGTATAGGGGCTACTATAGGGATCCCTACCCCCCCTTCCTCTTTTCCCTGCTAAAAGCCAGTAAGTGGTATCAAGGGTCCCCGGCCGAGGTTCGACTACCGTTGGATGTCCAGGAAAGTGTAGTCTACTGGCATGACAAGGGGGGCCCTAAACCCTAAACCGCGTGGCCATCTCTTTTCTGGGAGTCCGTATGAGAATTAGTATGTTGGGGTCTATATTGGGGCACTTGTTTATGGAATCGCAACAGCAGACTTGCATTGCGGATAATTTGCTGCATGTCGTAACATTACCCTATACCCTAAACCTTATACCCTAAACCCTAAACCCTATACCCTAAACCCTAGACCCTAAACCCTAAACTTACGTCATGTCATGCCTGCATCCAGAGCTCATCTGTATGCTGCATATATTTTCTAGTCTCCCGAAATAGGGGGGTCCCAATATAAACCCCCAACTAGTGTAGTCCTTAGTATGGGGACCCCCAAAAAGGACCCCTTATTTTTGGGGAACCCCCCACTTATATGCCTTCACATACACACACGTATGCCTTAGGAGAACCCCCCCACTCTGTAATAGTGACTATAAGGGATACTAGTAACTATTCTAGGGTCCTCTTATGTTCTTATTATACCACTATTGGAGGGTGGGGGGTCCTCCATATGTATGCCCAATGTTCGGGGTGTTTGAGAGGGTTCACCCCCAGGATTTTGCGATTTAGAGTTGCTTCGGTCCATAAGGCTGGGTAAGATCCCATTACACTGAAACTAGAGGGATTATTTGGGTTTATATAGGGATTATAGGGGAGAGAATGGGGTTAGATTGGGATAATGGGTTATATTGGGACGATGGAAAATGAAATGGAAACTACAGGATTATTTTGAGTCTATATAGGGATTATAGGGGAGATAATGGAGTCATATTCGGATAATGGAAAAGAAAATGGAAACTGCTACATTGGGGTTGTATTGGGATGATGGAAAAGAAAATGGAAACTATGATAATGGGGTTATCTTGGGATAAAGGAAAAGAACATGGACTACTATTTAGGGTTTTGACTGTCTCTAGGGGGGGTGTCTCAATGTATAGATGGACTAATGTCTATTCTTGCCTCTGTCACGGTCAGCAACAAAGAGGGGCGAGGAAGGTGCCACGCTTGTTCGGAAGTTGAAAGCAATATTATAATATGAGAAGCAGAATCATTGGAATCTGCAAGCTGAATTAGTTGAACAACCCTAAACCTGATAGTTCTTTAAATCCTTGAATCCCATTGCATCACAACGTGTTGTCTATCATGGGATGCTACATGGTAGTTGATCAAGCTTTCTGTTCCCCAACTGGCCATTATGAAAAGTGATTTCCCAAATGTTGTCCCTGATAGACCCACAGGATCCTCCAATGTTTCCCGATGGATCCTTAACCTTAAATTCTAAGCCCTACCCCTAAACCCCTAAACCCTTAAACCCCTAAACCCCTAAACCTCTAAACCCCTAAACCCCTAAACCCCTAAACCCCTAAACCCTTCAGCGTCTCCACGAGGTGTGG